CCGAAACATCGGTTCCCATAAGATCACCGAAGTTAAGCAATGCCAAGCCTGGTTAGTACCTAGATGGGTAACCGCTTGAGAATTCCAGGTGCTGTAAGCTTGGATATGCCTGTAATGGCTTGGAATTGTTAATCAGGGAACCGAGTTCCAATTCCAGCTATGTTCGTTATATTCACTTAAGAGCAATTACCCTTAGGAAATGTATGAATCCACCGCTTATCTTCTCAGCTATGGATTAATTAGTAAGATTTGTATCACTACGTTGTATCCATAAAGAGGTTACAAACAAATGTGTTACTCGAGTGAAGGAACAGCAACATGCACGTAGATGAAAGAAAGAGAGGTTTATTGTAAAAGATTATACACTACTGAAAGACAGAGACTTGGGTGGCAGGCTAGTAATTCCCGAAACAAGGATATCTACCAACCGCCCCACGCGGTCAGATGTGGCACAAGGCCGAATTTAACGTGGAGTATCCGAACCCGTTGGCTCGGACAAAATTTCCCGTATAAAACTGGGACGGGTAGCTGTTTCTCGAGAAGAGACACTGCTCTTCGACATAGACTCGTGGGGGGATCCTCTCTGTAAGACCTCATCGTTGCTCACGCGCTCGGTCCATGATATCTTTAGCATCCTTCTTTAGAACCACATCTCTGTGACCTCGAGTCTCTTCTTCCTCTTTGAAAAATAAATGTCAACATACGTGGCCGTTAAGAAATAGATATCTTTTAACAGTTCAGTTGGTCCTTGGTCATCCCAATACGTCTACGGATCCTCAGTTCCCCATACCGTCCTCTGGTCAAAAAATTTTCCCAGATAATTAAATTTCGCGTCTGCTTGATTCTAGTGTTTTATGTGACCTGCAAATCGCAAGATATCAGGCTTATCCTTTTACTGATCACCACGCATTCTGAAAACAAAATTTTTTTTTTTTTTGTTTTTATTCTAGTCCTTTTTCCCTGTTTTTCCAATCTACCTTATCAGTGAACATGATGGATTTTCAAATGAACGTCCGCCAAATACACCGTGTAGAGAATAAATATAAATCGGATCGCATACAATGATCGTGAAATATTAGTTGAATTCATATGGGAGGGCCTGTCAAATTTCAAACGTTTTAACGCTAGAACAAAAAAGCAGATTATTATTTTTTAGAGAAAATATTTTTCTTTAAATATTTTTTTACGTCTTAGGTGTATGATACAAAACAAAATAAAAAAGTAAATTGTGATTGACTGAATAGCATCGAAAAGATAGATAGACGTAAAGGAAGTCTAATAAGAGTCGTTTCTAAACCGTCATACAATGTAGACGTGTTTCCTTCGTGTCAGGGATTCGGCTTTCCAGTGGAGGGAGAGAACAATATGAGAACTGGTTAGTTAGAAATGTCAATGTAAACGTGTTTATTGAAAATTTCTAGATAAATTTAAAAATTCCATTTGTTGATGTCTTTTATCTACGAAGCAAAACAAAACTAGCGATCACCGGTCGACTGAACAAAGAGAAGAAAGAGAATATACAACATTGTATTAATTGGCGCAGGGACCAAGAGACCACCAGCATGAGGGGGCCTATACAACACTCGTGATGCTATCAATGTTCAAATAATTTTTCAGCAGTAAAATTTTTCCTGAATAAATCTTGACTTCAGTCACTTTCTTTATCATCTTAAATGAATTTGCTTTCCTATAAGTAGTTTTTATGTTTTTTTCTATTTATACTATCCTCCTTTGATATATATCTCATTTGCATGAATTTAAAACGCACTTTAGATTACTATTGGAATATATATCGTTTTACTATTGAAATAAATACATCTTTTATTGCAAAAAATAATTAAAACAATATATTTTATCTTTCCATTAACACAATAATACAGTCAATTTTAAACCCATGATTTCAACAGAGTAATATAATTTATTTCTATATTTTTTATTAAAAGAAAGGGAGAATAGCACATATAGCAATATGAATCTATTTTAATATTATATGATGAAATTTTTTTTATTTGAAAATACGTGATTGAATCAGATTTTTATCATGAATAAACACTATTGTCTCGACTGTCGATTAGTTTCCTAATAATTGTCTGCAAATGGACGTTATTCCAAGTACAGCGTACGAAAATTGTAACACTGCACTAACAATGGCAATGCGTTTTACCATTGAGCATTCTCAAAGTAATAGATAGATGATTCAAATTCTATTGATTTAAATCCAATTGCGAAATCCAATCTAAAGGCACAACCATTTGGAATATTTTTACGAAGTACTAACATGTGCACTAGGTCATGATTCATTGGAAAAATACGAAAAAAAGAAAATAATAGCAGAATTATTCGTTTTTAGATGTCACTGTAAGTGCTATACTAATAGTTTCTTTTCTCACACCTCTCACCGGTGGAATACATTTCTGTTTTCTTGCTTCAAAAATTTAAACGCAATGTCAATTGCAATCTTCTGTCTTCTTGAATACTGGTCTTTTATGGTCTTTTTTCCTCACTAAAGTCTTCTCATTCTCTTTCACTCTATGTAACCCCTTGTGGCATTATTATCTTGATTTTTAAAAATCTTCCACAAAACTTATGAATCAATATCAGCGAATATTTATTATAATCAACACAATTTTTTACTATTATTGATATAAATGAACTGAAAGATGTTGTATTAAGCAATACAGGCCGGATACAAGGCAATATGTACTGTTATATATTAACTTATATATTAACTGTTTAAAATCTTTCATAATAAAAATTTTTCAAAATTAACTTATTCCATTTAAATATGTTATTTATATCCATTTTCAGTGGCCATTAGAGTTGCTTCAGAACAGGGTCATTTCCGTTATAATGAATAATCGAAACGCCCCATGAAAAATATTGCATTAAAAGGTTTATTTTTTTAACGCCCTAAAAATTTTCTTTTATTAGAAAAATATTAACAAATTATTTTAGTTTGAAAATTTGGACAGTTCCAGAATGAAAGTGTTACGAAATTTCCTTTCAAACCTTACAAGAACTGGAATGAGGATTTTTCGAACAGTTTTGTATTCAGAATAGCTTTTTAAAAATGTGAAGATCGATGAAATTTGGAACAAAGGAATTTAGGTATTTTCTATTTGTCATGGAAAAACCAAGATATGATTCAAAGGGGATTATTTAGATGATTTATCTTCAAACTTTTAAGACAATAAACAAATTACGTCAATTTAGAAATGTAATCATTATCAGAATATAATTTTAAAAAACATCAAACTTTGAAAAAGATTAGTGAAAACAAAAATGTCATTTTACCATCATTTAATTACGAATCGAAAATGGAATTATAAAATCATCTATCTATCATCATGAAAATATCTATCTATCTATCTATCTATCTGCCTACGCTAATCATGATGTGGACTGACGATTGCAGATAGAATGAAACAGATGTATATATATTTTAAATGTACACCTCCAAATTTTCATTTTTAATTTACAAGAAATGATTTGATCTCTGATAATGAATTTATCCCATATATATAATATATTTATAAGACTATATTTCTTATATATATATATATATATATATATATAAATATATATATATATATAAAAAAAAATAAAAAATATATAACTAAAATAAACAATTCAGTAAATGTATTTATTTTGCTGACAAAACAAAAAAATATATATGAAAACTTAGTTTTACCAAGGACACAAAACAAATTTTTCAAGAACAACAAACCAAAACATAAAAAAATTTGAAAAAACAACAGAACACGATATCAAAAGGAAATTTAAAACAATCGCCCAAAAATTAGACCTAGATGACCGAATAAGTTGTATTAAAAAGTAAATAGCCTTTATCACATTAAAATACCACAACGAAAATTTTAAAACCACCCCTGCATGTAGACTCATAAACCCGGCCAAAAGCGAACTAGGTAAAATAAGTAAAACGTTACTAGAAAGAAATAATTCTAAACTTAGGAAGAAGTTAGGAGTAAACCAGTGGAAAAACACAAAAGCAACTATTGACTGGTTCCACAGCATAAATAACAAACAAAATTGCCAATTCCTACAATTAGACATAAAGGAATTTTACCCATCTATAACAGAAAGCATGTTAAATAAGACCATCAACTTAGCTCAGGAACAAATAATAATAAAACCAAGCGAAATCGACATCATTAAGTACTTCTGTAAATCATTACTATTTCACAATGAAGAAGCATGGATAAAGAAAGATGGGATATTTGACACTATAATGGGAAGCTTTGACGGTACAAAGACATGTGAAATTATATGAATCTACTTACTACACGAACTAAGCAAAATAATAGATAGAAATGACACAGGGCTCTACAGGGACGACGGTCTCATAATCTTAAGAAACTGTAACAAACAAAACACAGACAAAACTAGAAAAGCAATAATAAAGATTTTCAAAATTAACGGATTCGACATAGATATAAAAACTAACCTAAAAGAAGTAGATTTTCTAGATGTTACCTTCAACCTAAGAAAAGGCACATATAAACCATACAGAAAACCCAATGATAAACCACTCTATATACACACATCTTCCAACCATCCGCCTTCTATAATCAAACAGATACCAAAATCGATTAACCGCAGGCTTTTCGACAATTCCTCCAATGAATCCATATTTAACAAAGCTAAGAAAGACTACGAAACAGCCCTAAAAGATAGTGGATTCCCAGCAACACTCACATACTCACCACAGAACACAAAAAAAAGGCCAACAGGAAAAGAAATATCATATGGTTCAACCCACCGTACAGCAAAAACGTAAAAACAAACGTAGGAAAAATATTCTTCAAACTCTTACACAAACACTTCCCAGAATCAAGCACCCCTACAAAATATTCAACAAAAAACACAGTAAAAATCAGCTACAGTTGCACCGAGAACATGGCACAAATAATAAAAAAGCACAACAGGAAAATTATCAACAAACCACACGAACAAATTAAACCCACGTGCAACTGCAGAATAAAGAACGAATGTCCCTTAAACGGTAATTGTTTACAAAACAACGTAATATACCAAGCCACGATAAAATCACCAGATAATGAAGAAAAAGTATACATAG